CGGCTTTTGCATGGCATCAACAATGCTCAGAGTCTCGACGCTCTGGCTCGCTTTCCATCACATGAGGACAGTAGACTGACGCGTGACTTCGTTTTCCTTGGTACTAAACCAAGCAGAGGGGGAAAAAACAAAAAAATTAGCAACTCTGTCTGCAATGTCGCATAGTCTCTTCATTTCACATCTCCCATATCCCACGGCTCCGCCCTCGACCCATCTCCTATTACTACATTACAACTGCAACTAGAAGGCACCCATTGTAACTCACTTTCCTCAGGAGACTCTTGTCCCTTCCCCAGCCTTAATCCCAGAGCCTCGTAACTAACTAGGAAGCACACAGCCTGTGAAGAAAACTACAGCGAGCACAGATGAGGAATTCAAAGCACTGACCTCTTACTCACAGCCAGCGATGCAGAAGGCAGAAACATGAGGACTATTCACGTCTCCTTAGAAGGATGTCCAGGCTGCTCAGGTCCACTTCTGCCATATTCTTGTCCGGCTAGGGCTCCTGGACGATTCCTCCACAAACTAATAAAGCCAAGCAAGAACTATCACTACACAGAGCTCTATTGGTGCGTTGAATCGTGCCCTCATCCCTGCCTCCCTCTCCAGTCCCATCTACATCAGCCCCACTGGATGAACAGAGACTGAGTAAACACAGACAGTCACAGCTCCACTTTAGCGCCCACTGCCCCGCATGCTTTTCGTCCACTCCAACTTCTCCATGGCTCCCGAGACCTGGCCTCTGGGGATGCACACCTAGCACACCTGCCTGTGTCCTACGAAGGGAGGCAGAACAAGGAAAGGCAAGGACAGACATAGAGAGATAGAGGGTGTGTGTTGGCCAATGTACTAGAGAAGAGAGAGAGACAGATAGAAAGACATGGGAGGAAGGCAAGCAACTCACCACCTGGAGTCATCCTCCTGGATGCAACCTTCAGCTGCCGAGGACACACTGTATCTGGCCAGAGAAATGCGCAGTCCCTGAAAATGGGGACCTTGTGTCTCTCATAACCACAGCTGGTCAGGAACCATTTCTTACAAACCCAGCCCCAGCTAACGGGTGTCCCTACCTGGACCGGGGGGCCCTACGCAGAGCCCTCACCAAACCAGACACTTATCTCACTGACAATAGCGACTGCTCCACTGCCAACTGGACGGCTCCTGACTTGCATCAACAATGCTTGCGGGCTCACTGTTCTCGCTCGCTTTCCATCCGACGAGGGGAGTAAACTCTGACGTTCGTTTTCTTTTCCTGATACTAAACCCAGCACAAGGAGGAAAAACAATGAAGTTACTATCTCAGTGGGCAGCGTCGCGTAGGCTATTCTTTTCGCCTCTCCCACACAGCGGCGCTCCGCCCCAAACTCTCTTCCCCATTACGCCATTAGCACTACAACTAAAACGCACCCCTTGCAATGGCACCCAAAATAATCACTCTGCACAGCAGACTCTGGCCCCTCCCCAGCTATAATCTCACAGAGCCCCGTACCCAACGAGGAAGCACACGGCTTGGGAAGAATACTACAGCGAGCACAGATGACGAATTCAAAGCACTGACCGCTTACTCACAGCGAGTTATGCGGGAGTCAGAAAGCCGAGGTCTGTTCATGTCTGCTGACAAGGGTGTCCAGTCTGCTCATGTCCAGTTCTGCCACTTTCTCTTCGGACTAGGGCTCCTGGAAAATTCCTCTGGAAGCGCAGCTGCAAAAGCCAAGCATGAGCCATCACTACACAAACCTCTCCTACGAAGGGAGACGGCACGAGGAGAGGAGAGGCGAGTCAGCGAGAAAATTGGCCAACACACTAGAGAAGAGAGAGAGACAGATAGATAGAAAGACATGGGAGGAAAGCAAGCAACTCACTACCTGGAGTCATCCTTCTAGATGCAACCTTCCGTTGCGTAGGAGACACCCTTCCTGGCCAGAGAAATGAGCAGATCCCGAAAATGGGGACCTTGTCCCCCTCATAACCACTGCTAGTCAAGAACATTTTCTTCAAACCCAGCCCCAGGTAATGTGGCGTCCCTAGCAGGAGAAAGGTGGGCCATGAGCACAACAATCACCAAACCAGACACTTATCTCACTGAGAGTGGCGGCCGTTCCCCTCCCAGTTGGACGGCTTTTGCGTGACATCAACAATGCTCATGGTCTCGTCACTCCGGCTTGCTTTCCATCACATGAGGGCTTGCGTCTCTGAGGCGTGACTTCTTTTCCCTCGGTCCTAAACCCAGCACAAGGGGAAAACACAAATCCGTTACCATCTCAGTCGGCAACATCTCGTAGGCTCTTCCTTTCGCCTCTCCCTCACGGCGGGGCTCCTCCCTCAAACATCTTCCCTTTACACCTTTAGCATTAGAACCAAAAAGCACCCCTTGCAACGGCACCCGACAGTCACTCTGCACAGCAGACTCTGGCCCCTCCCCAGCCGTAATCTCACAGAGCCCCATACCCAACGAGAAAGCACACGGCCTGTGAAGAATACTACAGCGAGCACAGATGAGAAATTCAGACCGTTGACCGCTTACTCACAGCCAATTATGCGGGAGTCAGAAAGCTGAGAACTGTTCATATCTGCTTATAAGGATGTCCAGTCTGCTCATGTCCACTTCTGCCACTTTCTCCTCAGGACAGGGCTCTTGGAAAATTCCTCTGGAAGCGCAGCTGCAAAAGCCAAGCATGAGCCATCACTACTTAAAGCTCTATTTGTTGCTTCAAATCTTGCCCTCATCCTGGCCTCCCTCTCCAATCTCATCTACATCAGCCCCACTCGATGAACAGAGACCAAGTTAACACCAACAGTCACAGCCCTGCATGATTTTCGTCCCCTCCTACTTCTCCGTGGCTCCCGAGACCTTGCCTGCGGGGATGCACACCGAGCAAGCCTGCCCGTCTCCTACGAAGGGAGACGGCACGAGGACAGGAGAGGAAAGAGTGAGAAAGTTGGCCAACACACAAGAGAGAGAAAAAAATGGGAGGAAGGCAAGCAACTCACCACCTGGAGTCATCCTCCTGGATGCAACCTTCTGCTGCGGAAGAGACACCGCTCCTGGCCAGAGAAATGAGCAGCCCCTGAAAAAGGGGACCTTGTCTCTCTCCTAAGCACAGCTGGGCAGGAACCATTTCTTACAAACCCACGGGGGAAGGAACGGAGGGGGGGAAACAAGTTACCAGGTCAGTAGTTAACATCTCATAGGCTCTCCTTTTCACCTCTCCCACACGACGCGGCTCCGCCCTCAACCCTCCCCATTACACCTTTAGCATTATAACCAAAAAGCACCCCTTCCAACAGCACCCGAAATAATCACTCTGCACAGTAGACCCTGGCCCCTCCCCAGCTGTAATCTCACAGAGCCCCATACCCAACAAGGAAGCACATGGCCTGTGAAGAATACTATAGCGAGCACAGATGAGCAATTCAAAGCACTGACCGCTTACTCACAGCCAGTTATGCGGGAGTCAGAAAGCTGAGAACTGTTCATATCTGCTTATAAGGATGTCCAGTCTGCTCATGTCCACTTCTGCCACTTTCTCCTCAGGACAGGGCTCTTGGAAAATTCCTCTGGAAGCGCAGCTGCAAAAGCCAAGCATGAGCCATCACTACTTAAAGCTCTATTTGTTGCTCCAAATCTTGCCCTCATCCTGGCCTCCCTCTCCAATCTCATCTACATCAGCCCCACTCGATGAACAGAGACCAAGTTAACACCGACAGTTACAGCCCTGCATGGTTTTCGTCCCCTCCTACTTCTCCGTGGCTCCCGAGACATAGCCTGTGGGAATACACACGTTACACGGCTGCCCGTGTCTTACGAAGGGAGACAACACGAGGAAAGGCAAGGACAGAGAGCGAGAGCTAGAGGGTGTGTGTTGGCCAACATACTAGACAAGAGAGAGAGAGAAAGAAAAACATTGGCGGAAAGCAAGCAACTCATCACCTGGAGTCATCCTTCTGAATCCAACCTTCCGCTGCAGAGGAGACACCATTCCTGACCAGAGAAATGAGCAACCTCTGAAAGTAGGGACCTTTCCCCCCTCGTAACCACAGCTGCTTAGGAACCATTTCTTACAAACCCACGGGGGAAGGAACGGAGGGGGGGAACAAGTTACCATCTCAGTAGTCAACATCTCATAGGCTCTCCTTTTCACCTCTCCCACACGACATGGCTCCGCCCTCAACCCTCCCCATTACACCTTTAGCATTATAACCAAAAAGCACCCCTTCCAACAGCACCTGAAATAATCACTCTGCACAGTAGACTCTGGCCCCTCCCCAGCTGTAATCTCACAGAGCCCCATACCCAACAAGGAAGCACATGGCCTGTGAAGAATACTATAGCGAGCACAGATGAGCAATTCAAAGCTCTGACCGCTTACTCACAGCCAGTTATGCGGGAGTCAGAAAGCTGAGAACTGTTCATATCTGCTTA